TTCTGTACGCTACTTTGTACAATTTATACTACAGGAATGGCTTTGCGACCGTCCGGAGATAAATAACAAATAAACGCCGCTACCCACAGGATTGCTCAGCACTTGCCGCCGCTATACCATGCACCATACGACTCCTTTGCACTCCTACTTGCTCGTCCCAACCCCTAGAGGTCGCCTTGACGCTCTGCCACCTGATCCAAGCGGTCCCATCACTCCGTGCGACGCGCCGGTCACGTGCTAATTACCTCCGGCCGCTTGCTGACTGATGCTGACCTCATGGTGACTCGTATGCGTCTGCACCTTCACTATCTTGACGGAAATGAGGGGGAGTGAGTGCTGGAGGTTGGGCATGAGGACGACGCCCCTTGATAGAAGTGCCCACGGGCCCCGGAGCTAATTCATCTAGACGTTGCATTGGTTAAGTCGCTCCGGAGCTCCTGTTCGCGGAGATAAATCATGGAATGGGTCCGTGTACGCCTCAAGGATGTTAGGAAGTCCGGAGCTAAAACAGAGCAAGTCATTAGAGCCCATAGAAGCCTAGAGGCGTGTGAGCGCTGTGTCGAATAAGCTCCGCAGGGCTTGTACGATGTGCTGAGTCCGCGTTTTTGGGGGTCAGACAATCCTGAGGCTTATAACCATCACGAAACCCGCGCGGAGGGTCAGGTACAGGTACCAGTTTTGAAAGCACATCGACCGATGCATTTTTGGGACCCGGCTGGTCACAGGTCCCGCCGAATGCGACTTGCACCAGTATGTATGTGTTTGTTCAAAAACCCCATGCATTCATGGGTATGGGTACCAATGTGTGGTGTGCCGACGTACCTGTGACCCGGCGGGTATCAAAAATGCGCTGCTGAAGGTGCTCTCAATACCAAAATCCTACAACCAACCTGTACCCATATCAATCCCCATACCTGACCCGACCCGTCGATGTGGATTGAGTGCAGGTACAGGTAGAGTTATGCCCATGTTGCGGGAGCAAAATGGATGGATTAGGGGGGTGGCGAGAGGTCGCAGTGCTCGATATGCGCAGCACCGGCTCATATGAGCATCGGCGGTCTCCAGCAGCCTGAATGGTTGTTGGCTGGATATGTAGCGCGGGCAGGGAATATCGAGGGAGAAGAGAGCAGTCAACATGATGTTTGATTGAGATAGTAAATGCAGCAACGTACCTGCACTCATTTCAGCCGTGTGCGCCGGCGCTAACCCTTATCACTCGAGCTGACTTGGATGATGGCCGGGCACTCACACACTGCCGGTTATGTGGGTGACGGGACACATATCGAGTGCAAAAAGAGCGGGATATGGCTGATGGTAAGCACAGGTCTTGAGCTTCATGAGGATCTGTTTGGACGCATGCATTTGAGTTAGCAATCTGGCGTCGTCAGTAGACAGCAGATTCAAAAGTAGAACTTAGCGCATCGCGCGAGTCACACTGGTGGCATAATGACATCATTATCTCAAACATTCGACGCTCAGCCACCGGCATCCAGCATATATAATTAAGTACGACGCGCAGCTGCATTTCCTTGCTGTACCTGGTCAACAGAGTGTACGTAGCCAGTGTTTGTACAAGCAGGTACAAGCCATCTAACGACCGTAACGTAGGCGTGCTTTCTGAGTCTCGAGTTACTGGACTGACTTCTGATTGTACAGGATGGTAGAGGTCCCTCTCCGAGGCAAGAATGGTGCAGGGTGCTGATGCGTTTTTCTAAATAACATTCAGTCATGTACAGTAGTACTCTAGTGTGCCAATTTAATATCCAGTTCATATAGAAACAAGGACAGATGTCAGAGTATACCATAAATAGTAACTTTTCATTGTATTTTTTAGGTTATCTGCAGCTCCCTATATAGACCTCTATGGGTTATGTTGCCTATGTTGCCTATGTGCCTATGTGCCTATAGAGGTCTGCATAGGAGGGCAGAAATTATATAACATTGGGGGTTCTTATATAAACCTAAAAATCCAGGGTTTACCTTAACTCCTATGCCCACTATATAAGCTATATTGGGGAATATAGGTTCATGCCATTTTCCTGATGTCTGTAATTAAGTTTTATATGTACTCTAGAAATATAATATGATTTATCTAGAATTTTATCGAAATTGACTGGACCCATATACGACAGGCTGCCCCGCCGCAGCCACCAATGATGAGGAGAGTGGCGGGCGACAACCACCATATCATCCCGCGTCGCTCCGGCGACGCTTGGTTGCTCTATATGTATGCTACACAAGCTAATATATAGTACAATTCTATCCCACTACAGTGATGCTGTGGCACACTGTTGCTAACAACGTCGGGGAGGGTGGTGGGGGGCACTCCGATTGCCTGATTAGGCAGGACCAGCAAGCGCCGACGACGCCCGACGATGTAGACGGCGGCTTCAAGCGACACTCTGTATTACAGTACTACTACATAGTATACTATTTGTACTAAGACAGCCCTGAGCCCCAGTACGACCACTGGTGTCAACAAGCAGTCCTGAGCCTTGTTAGGCTTGACCGGAGGTCAGATGAGCCAGCCTAATTAGGCCTGGGACCTGGGCTGTCTAGGTGGATGATTTGTTCCAGCCGTCCTATAGCATTCTCCTCCTCTTGTTTGTTCTGTATCTGGTAATTCTAATATAATACATTTTCTTTCATAATATTTCACTTCTGCCCTAGTAATTAGAGAAGTGTGAACACTAAGGATGGGTGGTTTAGGAACCTGATGTGTGCCCATTTCAGAGCCATTTACTTTTATTCTGACCATTTTTAGCCAGGATCTTACTGGATTGGACTGAAAACAATGTCAGTTTGGTGCTATATACCCATATGTAGTGTGATAGAGGGTCTGGAGTAGGCCGGGCAGACCCTCGGTTGTCACACTCCCTGCCAGTGTCACAATAGGTCCACTCCGAGTCTGGAAACACATACTCCCTAAAAACCCATAACTTTGGGGTTCCAACCACTATGGGGAGATTCGACTGTACATACATTATGTATCCGAGGTCCCTTGCTCAGGGTTGACAGGACCACTTGCACCTGCTATCAGATGTTAGACTGATGAGGTACCAAAATTTGGCAACAGGTTAGGGTCACCTGCAATCACATCATGCAGGGAAGCCCAATGGCATGAGAAATACAATAGAACAGCATACATAGCATGCAGACTTGATTGCTTGTATTCTGCCTTGGTGCTGATAAGCCTCAAGGATCATCTGACCCCTGAAATCATGAATTCAATGTCCCTACCCACCTCTTCCCAAGTCTATTCGATGTCACAATCACACACTCTCAGGCTAGGATTGGTTCAACACGTTTTCTCGATTTAACTCCAGGCTTCCTAGCATCCTCGATGCAAATGTGGATCCCTGAGAAGCTTTAGCTCTGAGGTCAGACACTCCAGAGTGACTCAGGATGCTACTTCATGAAGAATTAACTCTGGTGTCCATGGACCTCTGTCTCATTGTGTGTTCTCCCCATTACCAACTTTCAGCACTTTCCCTCCTTCATTTCCATCAAATTACCAAGCTTGAAGACATAAATCCACAGCCATGAGGCCAGCAAGCGGCCAGAGATAATTAGCACATGACTTGCATGTTGGGCAGCTTAATGGGAAGGTTTAAGAGGACCCTGGATAATACTTAGGTAGGTCAGATATGCATCCCAGTAGAACCAGAGCTCCCGGGATGCCAGGGTTGGGTGCAGTCCCAGTGAGAAATACTTACATCTGTGCCAGACTGAAGTATGTGGATGTACTGTAATGCAAAGCAGTATAGCACTGCTGGAATTACTGCCGATACAGATAGTAGTCTCCTTATTGGCCTTTTACTGGAGCCTGAGAGGATTGCACTGTGTGCTGCCAGTGAAGTCCAACCATACACCATTTGCCTGATACATGTGTGAACAACATAACAGCTGTTTGCAGATCAATAGACCATCAATTCAGAAAACCACATATAGTCAGGGTGGGTTGGAGTGGGGATGTCAGAACAAGGTAGAGAAGTCCAAATGGTCTGATTTCCATCTCTCGAGGACTTGAAATTGCCTGTGGTTAGGGTGATATCCCGGCGAGGTTCAGTAGCCACATGCCAGTGTATTTAGGTTGTGGCATTTCTTGAGATTGTGGCTCTTTAGTTTGTCACTGCAGTATTCTTGGTGCTGTTGACAAGTTCAGCAAACATTTAAGGTGGCATACCAGGAATACTTTACAGAAAATATTAATTTGCCTGCCTCAGAAAGTTGGAATTCAAGGTGTCTGGCATCCGGTGGACATCTGCCAGATCACAACAAAGTGTTCCAATTATCTGGCACATCTAATGGGTGCTCAAGGACTGTGTATTGCCTCTCACTGGCCTCACTGGGTGCTCAGGGACCAGAATGGACTTGGCAAACTTACCGGCACCTACATCAAAGTGCTGAGGATCATATCAATGAGATTGACTACGGATACAACTGCTTCCCCAATCTCACTGTTCCGGACCCCAATACTATCATCGATGGTCGGTTCCCTTCATATTTGAGGAACAGTACAGCGCTACAGGGAGACCTGCTGAGCGCTTGAAGCAGTCATTTGCTGTTCATTACTACACAGGGCACTGGCATAGTGTTGTGACACATGTTAACAAGGCTAGAACATGATGAGAATATGTCAGCCAGTGTCCCTTGTAGCTTTTCTCGGGGATGGCACCTTTGCAGTTTACATATAGCGAGCTATTGAGAGCGTCCGGAATGTATTGTCCTCGGAAGGGCATCCACCAGCAGCCGCATCACAAATAGTAGTAAACAACCGATCGATTTTCCTGAATCAGCTTCATATCTTTCATACCTTCATTGCCTTCTTAGCTTGTCCTTCAGTCACTCCCTACTTCAGTATCGCTCGTTATGGGTCGTTTACGCCGTTCGCGAACTCACGGGGGTAACAGGGATGTGCACCGCGCGGGCCGTACGCGGGTGCGTAGCAGGATAGACGTTTGTGAACGAGCATTAATTCTATTAAATCAGAGTCGCACAAAAGACTTGGACCAGATCCAACTGGTTGACCTCAACCCTAAGGTGTGACAGTATGCTATGCCTCGAGAAACCTTACTCACCGGTCCCATCAGGTCCGTGCCAAACTAGAAGCACAACCCTTGGACTTTGAAAAGCCCGGTCTCGCCCAACACTACTGCGTAGAATGCGCAAAGTACTTTGAGACGGATCATGCGCTCAAGTCACATTGGAAGGGGAAGGTGCACAAGCGACGATGTAAACAGCTGAGAGAGCCGGCGTACACGATCGAGGAGTCAGAGCGTGCTGCGGGGTTAGGGAGAGAGGGCAAACGGCCCACGTCGACAACAGTGCCTGCGCCCATGCCTATGTCTATAGAGACATGATCACGATTTCCTGCACGGGGCTGGGTATCCCAGTGTGCGCTCCCAACTTGGTCTTATGCTTCCCTGCGTTCCCTCTGACATGTCCTTGCCTCCTTTCACACTCAAAACTACATGCATATGGCGGATTGTAATCGGCTAATTGTCGTAGTTGTGCTTTCATGTATCGGTAATTGTACGATTCTTCCAACTTCACGCACTTGACATCATTAAAGGCAAGATGGAGGTGCGACATACTTGGGTCGTCTGGTGTCTGAATGACCGGATATGCATGAGGTATGTACAATGGCATTACAATGCAATCAACGAATGCAAGTACAACAGGAAATAATTTACAGCAAGTACGACGAGTCGGACTTTAGCTAGCGCTTCGCGTTTGCTTCTTTGCCGTGCCGATCGTCGTGTTGTTGACCTACATAGCAGCGGTCACCAGATGTGTCTCGGTATTAGAGGAAGTTAAGAAGACCCATACCTTAGTGGCGAAACGCAGGGAACACAAGGACTCGCCCAAGTGAACGGCAAGCGGAGAGACGTTGAGGATCATCTGTGCGAGGCATATCAGTTGAGTGGTCCTCGTCCTGATGGTACAACTCACCAATGTCTTTGAATTCCCACTTAGTGAGTTTTGAAGTAGGTAAGTGAGCTGAGCGAAAGATCATCAGTCACGTTATCTTGCACAAAGAATCATGCTACTCACCTTCGAATTTCGATATGGTATATGCTTCTCTCCCTTCTCGCCTTTCTCGCCGAGGGCAGCAATGACATCCCCAAGGGCGCTCAGGCTCTTATTGATACTCTGCGTTTCCTTGAGCCTATCCTTATCATTAGCAGCGCCGCTCTCCTTTAACCGCTCACTACCAGCCAGGTCGACCAAGTTCAGCGAACCATCGCACGTTTCGCCGGTATGCGTGTTATTTCCCTGGATCTTGAGTGTGAACACGGAGTGGGAACGGGAGGAGCGCTCATTCATGAGCGTGGCAGCTACTGTCCGCCGCGACTGCGCGATGGCGAGCAGGGAGCGGACCTGCGTGGCTGAGCGGAGCGGGATGGTGACGATGTCCGTCACGCGCGTGCCGGATTTGTCGTGCTTGATCTCGTGCTTCTTCTTGTCGAACTCGTCCTTACCCAGAAGATCATTGATGGTCTCATTGTACTATGCACAAGCTGTTCAGTCCTGATTACAGCGGACTACGACGAAATGCTCACAATCTCGAGGAACTGTCCCTCCATCTTGTATTCCCAGCCTTTGGACTTGAGCTCCTCGGCCACGCTAAAGACTTGCTCAACTGCACGAGGGATCATACCCGCTGTGCTCTCAGTCTGCGGAAAATCAGTGACATCAAGATGGGATTGACATCAGATATAACGAAAGAGATAACACGTACAGGGCCACCTTCCATGGTAAACGACTTGCCGGACCCGGTCTGGCCATAGGCGAAGATGCAGACGTTGTACCCGTCCACGCAGCTTTGCGCCAGCTGTGATACCTCTTCGAATACCTCCGCCTGTGTTGAGTCGGGTTCGAAGACCTAGCACTGATCATGAGTCTCGGAGATGCGCATGGCAGAAATACTACATACTCGGTCGAAGCTGAAATTCCACACTTCCTTCCTCTCTTGGCCAGTGGCGCTCTCACTAGACGAGCTGAGCACAATCTCTTTATGATCTCGGCGGTCAGGGTAGGCTATACTTGCAGTTGCCTCCTTCCTGGCAGCGTCCAGTTCCTCAGGAGAAAGGTCCTCGATGGAGGGAGAAGCACCGTTTGGTGAACCCGAGCGTGAGTTGGCAGGCGCAGTCAAATCTGACGGTAGAATCGGTCGAACACGGCAAAAGACGCGGATATTGCCCTTGAGCTCTTGCACCATATTGTGCAGCTTCCTCCGCACACCCTCAGCTTCCCGGGCATCTTGCTCGAGCTCCGCAATCCTCTTCCGCGAGCTCTCCAAGTCCAGTTGAAGTTGGGAGATAGTGGCAGTAGCAGCATCCAACGAAGCTTGTACCGCGTCGCATTGAGCCTGCAGCACGTTCTTTTGCGTGGCCAAGGTAAGCTGCGCGGTCGATTGAGATGAGATGGTCGCCCGCAAGGACGTCACCGTTTCCCTCTCCCTCTCCAGATCGCTCTGCGCAACCCTCAGATCCTCTCTCAGCTCCCGCATCTCCCTGTCCTTCTTCCGCAGCCCCGCCTCATATTCATCCACCTCTTGTGCATGCCTCTTCTTTAGGCTCTGTATCTCATCGCTGTAGTTATCGAGCTCCCGGCGCTGTGTCATCTCCTGTGTTCGCGCCTCCGCGAGCTGCCTCGACATGAGCAGCTGGTTCTCCTGCAGCTCCATCACCTTCGCCTTCTCAGCCAGCATATCTTCGGACAACCGCGCGAGGTCGGCCGCTCGGGCTTCCTCCACGGACGACACCCGCTCCTGGAGGGCCTGCAGGTCTTTACCATTCAATCCGCCCGCGCGAGCAGCGGTCGTACCAGCCCTCGCGGCCGCACCTGTCCTTGACGTAGTAGCTGTGCGGGTAGCAGTCGTCCGAGTGGTGATAGTCGCAGTCGTCTTCGGCGGGGCACTTGTGGCACGAGCCGTCCGCGGCGCCCTGCTCGTGGACGACGCAAACGACGGCGCCTGTGGCTTCGTCAGCGGTGGCGGGCCATGTCCGAGCGTCGAGCTTTTCAGATTAGTCGTCCTGCTCGACGGCTGGAGTGGTCGGTTCGCACGAGAGCCAGCAGGGCCGATGGCAGGTAATTTCGTTGCGCGGTCGGTCGCTTCGAGTTCCTCTTCGGTGGGTTTCCGCTTGAGCGTTCTGGTGGTGACGGTGTTCGCTGCCGTCTTCGAGGGCGCCATGGAGGGCGCGGCGTCGTGAGCGCGGTCGGGGGAGGAGTGTAAACGGGGTAACCGCGACATCAAGGTTGTGACAAAGAACCAAGCAGCCGTGACAAACCGCGACAAGCGCTCGACGCGTCCTCGTCACGTGATCGTCTTACCACTTCCTGCACCGGTCACCAAATAGCATTTCCCATCTGCCATAAATGTAGACAGACAGCCCTCGAAACCCAGTGTACTATACGAAACCAGGGCTATGTAGCAACAGGCGCAGCAATAGAATTAGGATTATAGCGTAAATGTGCCCAAGATACCCTGCACAAAGTTCCTCGCATTGCCTGCAGCAGCGCTATACTCCGCCATGAACAGCTCGTCCTTGGGTGCTATATCAACGCAACTCATCAGTCACATATTCCCCACCACAGAGTAGACAAACTATACTACTAACCTGCTTGCGTGACGGCCTTATCCTTCGCCCACACCTCAAACACCGCGGCAGCCTCGTCCAGCTGCAGCTTCTCCGGGACGGGCAGCGCCTGCAGGCCCTTCGCGTACTCCATCTTCGTCTCGTTCATCTTGACGTACGGGCTCGTGGGTTGCTCGTCGGGCAGGCCGAGGGCCTTACGCAGTTCGAGGGGCGTGCGGTACGTCGTGTCCGCGGTTGAGAGTGCGCCGAGAACTGCACCTCTGGCCTGCGCGGGGGTTAGCATGATGTAACGTGACCGGTGGTGTTAGTGTTTCGACATGTGTGCAGGAGTGCATAGCGGGGACGTATCGGAGGAAATGACTCACGAATGACTTCCTACCACTGGCGTAATCGAGGAGTAACCGGGGCATTGAGAGATGCCACGGCTTGATGGAGGCGAATTGCGGGTCACGATACGCGGTCTTACAATACAGCGCCTGGAAGTCGTCTATTGCGAGCAACATCGGATACCTATCCGCCAAAGTTCAGTGAATCACCAGCGGCCTAACAGACAAGAGAAGCGAGAAAGCAAGACATACCTCGTCTGCTTCCCCAGCTCCTCCATCAACGCGCTAAGCACCGTCGGCGCCAGATACACGTCCCTCGTGCCAATTTCGATGAGGTCCACCAGCCCGCTGCCGGCGGGGAGGGATGACCTCCTATCGAGAGGGATATCCTGTGACGTGTGGAGATGCTGCAGCTTTTCGGCGTTGACGGTTCGGAAGCGCTGGAGGGTCTGAAACGCGAACTCGGGTTGCAGGTACGTTTGCGTGCGCAGGTCGTAGGTGTATGTCGTGGTGGAGTTGACGAGACTGATCGCTGGGGTAGGGAGAACATGGATAGTCCGGTACGCCGAAAGGCTGGGGTCTGAGGAGAGCGCACGCACCTCTTGGGATGTAGAGAACCATCCACCCACTACGGACTGCGTACTCCACCGCTTGCAACAACAGGAAACTCTTTCCACACCCACGAGATCCCGCTATTGAACGTAAGTCATGGAGTATTCCGTTGAAGTTGCAATGCGCACGTACTCATCACCAGCCGCGTCTGCGAACTGGGCAACTCCGCCGCAGCTTGCAGTTTATCTATGGTGCTTACGGTAATATCCCGGATCACGCTTAACGGTTTCGACGCGATGCGGAACTATAAGCAAGTATGAGAAAAATCGATTGAGAGACGCGGGGATACGAGCGTACTTCAAGGAGTATATTCGTAGGCAGTCCGAATATGCGCATAGGGTCGTTGTCGGGACCGGTGAATGCCACCGCGTTACCGACGTGCGAGGGCGTGGTGAGTTCCTGGGATGAGAGGGATTACGATATTAGTCTTGCGTTCGACACTGGCGACGTACCGGGACGAACGACCGCAGGTCAACTTCGTCAGCACGGCCGGTCTGGAAGATGGGTTTCTGAAGCTGAGATGCTGATAGTGGTCGGAACGCCTTGAACTCGGAGTGAGTATACCGTATGTGTATGATGTAGAATCGCACGTACGCCAGCACCGCCGCTGTTCTTCTTGGGTGCACTGGCTTTAACTTTGAAGTTTTTGTTGCCCTTGAAGCTCTGGGACTCTGCAGATATTACGCACTGAACAAATCAGTCGCAATGCACGTAACACCTGCGCGCACTTTTCTGAGAGACCTTCTGCTGCTGACCCTTGGCAGCATAATGCCGCTTCTGCACCGTCGCCTGGAGCACATTGGACGGTCCCGGAACCGCTCTATGTAGCACACATTGCGCTTGCCGGAGCACAGACAGGCTGGAGGGAGCAGACATCGAGACCAGCCACAGCCGGCAGCGTAGGGCTTTCGGCGAACGGAACGATAAATTCGCTGTCAAGTCCAACTGTTCGGGACCGCCTAACTGTGGGAACTTTGAGTATAATCGGACGTCTTCATTAATTGTGGGAATATTATTCCCGCTACCTTGGGGAGCGGGTCTTGCGACCAAGTGTGTTCGCACTTTCTCCGCCATTTTTGCAAGATCGGTCAAAGATCTGACCTGCCCTCAACAAACTATGTAATATCTTTCACATCCAGACGCTTTTGGTGAATTGGCACTCCGAATGGTTGGATCCGAGGCGATGTGGCTGATAATAGGACCCTCGAAAATACCGATAGACACTGCAGGAGTTGCAGTCGTTAGGGGGGGGGGGTGCAAAACATTGTATGAAAGGGAATTTTGCGAGCTCTGATTGGCTGGGAATTCCCTTTCCTACAATCTTTTGCACGGCCCTAAAGACTGCAACTCCCGAGGTGAGATGCAGGTGCAACAGAAAAGGTGGGTTTGAGCAGGGGATGCCGGACGGTGTCTGGACACCGATGAAGGTCAATGTCAGTAATGCCGGTGATTGTCCGGACACGGGAGGCCAG